CACAACTATAACATCATGTGTTGATGTTATAGTTGTGTTGGTATCCCTTGCACAATCCCTTGTGCCAACCTGAAATGCATTTGTCATTTTTGAGAATAAAATTGTAGTTACTAACTGAAAATTTGCTGTGAGTCCGTCTACCATTTGTTGGATTACAGAGACGTATTACATAGAGATATTTTGTTATATTGACATAGCCTATTTATCTAGCGATTGCGAGAGAGAGAAAGTTTACAATTGTTCATGAGTCGGGAAATACCTGCATTGATGGTGATGCTTCTTGATTTGGATTTTGTGAGGACTCGGAGGTCTAGGGTCTGAGGTTGTCTGGATCTGGATCATTTGGGACAGGTCTGGATCGGGAAAGTTCTGGATCAAGAAAGTTCTTCTAGGCACAGTTGAGGGTAACATGAAAATCCCATAGACTATGATTGGCACTGAGACAGGAAAATTTTGATGACTTTAATCCTAGAGGGATTGGTGACAACTTCCTTGACTGCTCGTTTGGTATTATATTAAAATGATGAAATGGGACAGCAGGTCAGAAGGTCACGTGAAAGCATTTTTATCAATGCTGAGAACTTAAAAGGAGATGTACTCCCAGGTGTGAAAGTTGACAGATAGTTGACAAAGTTGATGTTACAACGTTAAATTGTTTATGTTGAAGTCTGGATTCTCACAATCATAACAGGATGGTTATCATAAAATTTTTGTGATCGAGGAAGCATTCATAATATGCTAAGACTTGATAAATTCTTTAAATTTGGTCCATAGTTAGTGATATAATTTCAAGGATTAGAGGGTTGAATCTGATCTGAGCCAAGCTTCACTCTAGAACTTCTTAAACTATTAATCAAAAATTAAATTAATCATTACTTAGTTATTGAAATTTTCAAGTTAGTGATGTTACATTAAGCCTGGCACAAACTAGTCAATATGGTTCCTTGAACATGTAGACAGAAACTGGTTTTTTATGTCATAACAGTTTGCTTTTGACTATTGTCAATGACTTCATGAATTGATGATTGATGATACACATGAGCATTGGTAGTTACCAAATGACATATAAACAAGTTGAATATGCTTTTTGTCAAACAGGCTGCATACATTCTGTCAAAAGGACTTACTTGAGTCCAATCCTTCAATTGCAGACAAATTTGCTTTGATATTGATTGCTTAAGTCAGGCTATAGAGTGACCATATGTCCTAGTTTGTCTATGACAGTCCCAGAATTTTTCTGTTTTTCACCTTGAAAAATAGAATAAATTTTAAATAGAACCATTTTATAAGCCNGGAGAACGAGGAGGTCCGATATCACTATAGTTGCGTTTGTGTGTTACGTTCATGCATTGCGTTCAGTTACAACTTACAAGTGTAACACATTAAGTCAAGACATCGCAAGCGATCGACCAAAATTGGTTTTGCGATCGACTTGTTGGCCACCCCTGCTGTAGAACATTTTTTGAATAAAATTGAAATGTCTAGATTTTATCTATACAACCTGATACATAGTTCTGATACAGAAACTAATCTTATTTATGCTTTATCAACATAAACACTGTACTATTACATTAGACTTTTTTTTATATAAATGTAGTTAAAAAGTGACATTTTATTTTGATTTTTTAAAACATTTTTTAAAATCATTATTTTATTAATTGTTTTATGTTAACAAAAATACAAAGAAACTAATTCCAAAATATCAGGACAAATAATATTGGTTGTTTTTATTATTTTTTGAAGAGTGACACATTACAGCTTTATGCAGCCAGATGAATTTGAATTAGGGGGGTCCAAGGTACAGTGTTGACTTAAACATTTTACTTTGGGGGAAATATTTTCTTATAAAAGAATAGTTTGGGGTCTTCTGTTGGTGGGGACCCTAGGTAATTCCCCATTTTTCTCATAGGGAAATATACCACTGTTTTTGGAAATAATCAGAAAACCCCAGTCTGCAAAGGCAGCTTCCAAACCAGAAAGTGTGTTATTTATTTTTAGAAATGTTAAAGGACTTTATAACCATTCTGCTCTTGGCTAGCTGGATGGTCGAGTTGGTTAAGGCATCAGCCTACTACTCTGGAAGCTGGGGATTTAATCCAGGAAGTTGAAAAACCCAAGGGATTTTTCAGAGTAGTAATTCTCAGATATGTTGAGCTTCATCCTCACCATCTAGCTATCCCTTTTGTGGACTGGGCCAAACCCATAATGGAAAGACTCTTAATGTTCACAGTGTAGGAGTTTAAACAATATCATTTTGTATATTCTAGTAAACTTATAAAGATAGAGTAATTTAAAAACTCATGCCAAAAGTTGTATAATCTCTTGATAATGAACACTGAGTTCAGCATTAATGCAATATTTCTTGTATCGCAAGTATTTTCGACAAGTATAAACTTGTTGTCCTCAGGTGAAAAAGAACAATAAAATTGCAGTTGGGCAAGCAATTTTTGCCACAGCTTTACTAGCTTCAGCAATACAAAGAAAGTAATTAATTTTTTATTTGCCTAATTTTACAATATAATAATTATTATTTTTCAGGATTTAAAACCTGCAAATCTACTGATTGATTCATTGGGACATCTTAAAATAGCCGACTTCGGACAAGCTCGATTGTTTGAGAGGGAGGGTGACAGATTATACAGTCACCAAGTAGCTACGAGGTATTGAATTACATCTTAACATTTAGATATTTGTCTATATTCTAGAGTAATATTTAATACAATATATCTTTTCAGATGGTACAGAGCACCTGAATTATTATATGGAGCTCTCAAATATGATGAAGGAGTGGATTTATGGTTAATATATAAATTTTTCATTTATTTACAGTGTAATAGTTACATCATAATTTAAAATATAAGATAATCTTCACACAGGGCCATAGGATGTATTTTTGGTGAAATGCTAAACAGATTTCCTTTGTTTCGAGTTAGTTTAACATTTTTTACACTGTGATCTTATTACACAAATTCTGATTTTGCTCATTTTTATAAAATTCTTTTATTTTCTTTGAGGGAGAAAATGACATTGAGCAATTGTGTTTAGTTCTTCGTGCACTTGGAACTCCAACAGAAGAAAATTGGCCCGTAAGTTACTCATAATATGTTATTGAATATGTTGAATTAAAGATATAGATTAATAGTGATGAACTAAATAAAAACTGTAGGTATATTGAACTTAATATTGGAATATACAACCATAACTGACTAATAGAAAACCCCAAAAAGTTTTATCACAATATCATAAACTACTTTACACTAAGCACTTGAAAGAGGAAATTCTCCCATTTTCTCAAAAAGAACTTTTCATACACCACTTATTACTGACTTTTATAGAAACTGCATTATGCTGAAAAAGGAATTTAAAGCATGAAAATTGTCTGTAACTAATGAGCTGTGTTAAAATGAAAATAAACTAATTGAAACACAGAAATTTAGGCTGCCATGATTGGTTGAGGTGGTTAAGATCTCAACCTTTTGCTTAGGGTAATGATGAACATTCTTTTCTGGATGCAGGCTTCAAGTGAACTTTAGGCCTCTGGTGAGCTGCATGCACTTTTTCTTATGGAGTTGTGGGCTTTAAGCCTGCTGAATACCAATATACATCATAACTGCCTGTACACTAAATAATATAAGCTAATGATAGCACACTAATAATATATAGTTTATTCTCATCTTTTTACTGGTCAAGTTCTTTGTCATGAATATCAACTTAATTAGGGTTGCTTATGCTGGCTCTCCACTTAGTGCCATTTCATTGCTGTTTCCTGATGATTCATAGAGCAATGCAATTGCTACCCTATGTTCCTACACTCTTTACTCAAAATGGAAGGCAATTGGCAATGGATTACAGTGTTACCTCAGGTTACGAACGCCCCAGCATACGAAATTTTCAGGATACGACATGAAATTCGAACATATTTTTGCTCCACGATACGAACAAAAACTCACCATACGACGTTACATTAGTTCGCATTTTTCATTTGTTTTTCTTACTACAGTTATTTTTTTTTAATGTATTACTTCGCATTAATTTGAGTATGTTTATCGCATTGGAACGAATTATTTGGTTTTACATGTAATCGTATAGGAAAAGATGATCCACCTTACGACATTTTCATGATACGATCTCAGTTTCGGAATGGATTAATTTCGTATCCTGAAGTACCACTGTATAGGAATTTTTAAAATAGCAGCAAAACTTTCAACTTAAAATGAAGTTTTATATTTTTCAATTTAATTTTTAAAATGTAATATTTGCTATTCTTTGCTCCTTTTCAAAATTTTCATATCACATTGTATGTAGTGCTAAGAATGATGGGTAAAAATATGATCTCATGTACATTGGAATTATGGATGATGCATGCCAATTGGCTGTAATAGAATTACCACACAAAAACATACATTGTCCCAGTACTCTGTTGCCGAAGTACTTGAAGACAATTCCAACTGGAAAGCAATTTTACTGTGCTTCAGTAGTGACACAGGTGATTGAATCACCTCAAAATCATGCTAAGTGGAGAGCCAGCATTAATGGCATGAGAGAGAAAACAATAACATCGCATTATTAAACCCCCAGGGACCACATTTTAGGACCTCACAGGCCATTAATTGTTCATCACTGTTCTGGGAGACTCAGGATCAAATCTGGATGGTCAGNGATACACATGAGCATTGGTAGTTACCAAATGACATATAAACAAGTTGAATATGCTTTTTGTCAAACAGGCTGCATACATTCTGTCAAAAGGACTTACTTGAGTCCAATCCTTCAATTGCAGACAAATTTGCTTTGATATTGATTGCTTAAGTCAGGCTATAGAGTGACCATATGTCCTAGTTTGTCTATGACAGTCCCAGAATTTTTCTGTTTTTCACCTTGAAAAATAGAATAAATTTTAAATAGAACCATTTTATAAGCCATTCTAATGCAATATAACCAATTTATAGGTCAATATATAAATAATTTTTAAAAAATAATTCATGTTTAGTCATGTTTAGACCTATTTTTAAAATATTGTCTTTGTTTGGGTGATAAACAATAAGGGCACTCTATATTACCTTGTATTATAGACTTATAGACTCATTCATAAATAATTTCTGATAACATAGTTAAAAATCTGACATCTTCATTTATTATTTGTATTTAATTACATATGGTACAAATATACATCATAACTGCTTGTACACTAAATAATATATGCTAATGATAGCACACTAATAATATGTAGTTTATTCTCATATTTTTACTGGTCAAGTTCTTTGTCATGAATATCAATTTAATTAGGGTTGCTTATGCTGGCTCTCCACTTAGTGCAATTTCATTGCTGTTTCCTAATGATTCATAGAGCAATGCAATTGCTACCCTATGTTCCTACACACTTTACTCAAAATGGAAGGCAATTGGCAATGAATTATAGGAATTTTTAAAATAGCAGCAAAACTTTCAACTTAAAATAAAGTTTTATATTTTTCAATTTAATTTTTAAAATGTAATATTTGCTATTCTTTGCACCTTTTCAAAATTTTCATATCACATTGTATGTAGTGCTAAGAATGATGGGTAAAAATATGATCTCATGTACATTGGAATTATGAATGATGCATGCCAATTGGCTGTAATAGAATTACCACACAAAAACATACATTGTCCCAGTACTCTGTTGCCGAAGTACTTGAAGACAATTCCAACTGGAAAGCAATTTTACTGTGCTTCAGTAGTGACACAGGTGATTGAATCACCTCAAAATCATGCTAAGTGGAGAGCCAGCATTAATGGCATGAGAGAGAAAACAATAACATCACATTATTAAACCCCCAGGGACCACATTTTAGGACCTCACAGGCCATTAATTGTTCATCACTGTTCTGGGAGACTCAGGATCAAATCTGGATGGTCAGAAAATGTCAGAAATTTTTTTGGGATGGTCTGTCCCAGATATGTGGATGGCTCAGTCCCTCACCACTTGCTGAACACATAATGAGCCTGAAAAAAACCCTCTTACTGCCCACTGGACAGAAAACATCAAAAAAGAAACTGAGGTTTTAATTAGGATGGATTTGAATGTAAAGATGATTTAGCATTTATTGATTAATCACCTTATTTTCTTGATTAACATTCTCAATTTAGATCTTTAGTTTTATACATTTAATAGCAAAATATTTTTATTTTACTTTAAATATTTACATTCTAAAAAGAAAAATATTAATATGTAAAATAAAGAAGAAAAATGCTTGGAAAATAATGTCTAAATCTGAATTCAGTGAAGCTGTAGACACAAGGATGAGGAGAAATATGGAATTCATGAATCAGATAAGAAAGCTTCTACATTGCATTCAGTGCCACTTTCTACTTGTTTTCATTTCTAATTTTTTTTAACAAAGTAGGAATGAGAACTAGTGAATAAATTTAATTAGATGAATTTACTGTAGTTTCAAAATAACCAAAGAATGCTTTATGAAATTGAATGGAAAATTAAAGAAAAAATATTAAAAAATCCAGGTGATACTGAACACAATGTAGAGACTCACTTTTTGATTTATGAATTGTACATTTCTCCTTATTCCTACAACTTCAGCATTATAGATTTCAGATTTGGACATTACTTTTAAGCTGAATTAAATAAACAATATATTTTAGAGAACTTTTTATATTATAAATGAACATATCCTTGTAAGATAACAAATTCTATTGTTTTTGAGATCTAATACTCACCTTTGGCAACTCAATAGAAAAAGTAGGGAATATTTTTTTCCAATTTACTTCCTGAAGAGCATTGGAACTCAAAAGCACTAGAACTTATTAAGGCCAGATCATGCTATCATGGTAGTGGTTTTATATGCACTACATTCTTGCCACAGAAACTGCATAGCAGTTCACAAGACATCTATAAAGTCTTTGTGATATAATTTTGCATGTGTGATCGAGTTGAAATTTTCTCAATGTAGTAAATCTCAACTTATTTCCATTATCTAATTGTTTGAAATAATGTTATGACCTAAATTCTACACTGAAAATATGATAATATGAACTGGTCTTTAGTGTTTTTTTTACTTCCTACATTTGCTCTTCACTAAAAATATTTTTTAAAATTCAGTCACTTTTATTAATATGTAAATTTATAAATTTTTCTTTTTGATAAATTAGGGTTTGACTGAATTACCGGATTATAATAAAATAATGTTTCCCAATTATACTCCTATGAATTTTGAGGAATTAATTCCGGAAGCATCTGCAGATGCATTGGAGCTGTTGAAATCATTTTTAGTTTACAATTCTAAGAAACGGTTAGCAGCAGATCAGGTAAGATTTAAAAATTATTTGTTGCTTAGACACTATGCAGTGTAATAAATTCTAACACTTGACATTCCTTCATCTTTTATTTTAGTTCAGTTGATATGTGTCTTAAATTACACATTTCAGGCGTAACGTGCCCGTCTTCAGCCAACTTGGGACTTTTTATGAACTGGGCTCTATTGGATGAGTACATAATATGTATACAGCTTATACATTTATTTATTAATACAGATATACAATAATAAATGAGAACATAATAAGTATATACATATTATGTACTCATCCAATAGAGCCCAGTTCATAAAAAATCCTGAGTTGGCTGAAGAGGGGCATGTTACGCCTGAAATGTGTAATTTAAGACGCTTATCAACTGAACTAAAATAAAAAATGAAGGAATGCCAAGTGTTCAAATTTGTTACACTGCTTAGTGTCTAAGCAACAAATAAAAATTATGACATGGTTTTGGATTATCAAATTAAAAATTATTTTTATAATTTTATTAAAATATAGATATAATAATACTTGGTATAATTTATAACAGTGAAATTTGTAAGAGAACTTGTCTATAAAAGATACAGTGATAAATTAACATTAAACAATCATAAGCTAGTGTGAGATAAGCCGCAGGTCAGGGGTTTATCTCCTACTGACCACTTAATTGGCACAGGCTGGTAAAACCTGATCTCGGTGTCGTCGGATGGCTAGGAGGGCAAATCGAGTGGGGAGTACGTTGGTAAGTTGGCAGGTGCTGTTTAGACAGGAGACAGGTCAACAGAATAACAAGCATTTATTAATTAATAGTGTTGTAACGAATAGTATATTCGGCCTCAGGCCGAATACCGAATATTCGGCCAGGAGTGTGGCTGAATAGCCGAATATTCGGTCAAACTATTCGGCTTGATTAACGCACATACGAAAATTGGCGCGCAAACTGCATTATGGCAAGGATCCTGCTCTCTATTGGCCCGCTGTCACTATGCTTCGCCAATCGCGTTAATTCTTGGCAGTTGTAGCCGACAGACAAGAGTGTCATGGAAGTATGTGATAAATGATGATATCAAATGACCTACACTTGTAAATAACGGAAAAAGAACAGAGAAGGACCGTGAAGTGAAAATGTGAAAATAAATATGAAATTGAGTTGATAACATAATCGAACAAGTCGAGGCAGCTTATTGGCACGAAATTTGCGCCCATCAATGCCAAACAATTGTTGTCATAGACTTCGGAAAGCTAAATGCTTGTAATGAAAGTCACTTAGCGTGCACGGGCGAAAGCCTGGGGCCGTTCGGGCTATCAAGCTGTCTCGAATCTGTGAAATCATAACTGTGACTTATATCGACGTCCTATCTGTCTCTTTTCTCCGTTATCACCAGGCTGAGTCACGTAATTGTAAAATGGGAACTCTACGACGGAAAAGTGACGAATCGAAAGTATTGTGAGCGCGTATTATGATGTATGCACAGGCATACATGGATTAGAGCGATAGAGGTAAGAGAAAGGGAAGAGCAAAGACGAGCACTTAAAAAGAAGGACAGGCAGGGTCAGACCCTCAGATGTGTGACGATTCTCGAACGAATAGGTGTGTACGTGTGCTGATCTTTGTAATTATAAATTGTGAATACATGTGACTAATATTATTTTCTTTTTTATTTTGTGCATGTTACAAGCTATAAATAAATATAAACAAACAATACTAACTCGATAACATTAAATCTAAATACCAAAATGATTAATTTACTGTGTTTTTTGTTATTTCTTACTCCTGTTTTTAGGTATTCTGTATTCGGTATTCGGCCTTATAGTGATTAAATATTCGTTACATCACTATTAATTAACAAAACTAAGTTACAAAAATACTAAAGCTAAATGCAATTATATTAAAGTATTTACAGAAATTGGCGATTACGTTCTTAGCTATGTCACTGCCCTAGTTTCTAGTTCAGAGAGAGAGCGCTTTTATAAAATCTAACCCCTAAATACCTCTAGGTGGAAGGGAGAGTTGGCGAACGTCGTCTGTATGGAAGGGTGTGGTGTCTTCTATGTCTTCTCCGATGGGATTACAGTCCTTGGCATGGAGATCGACGAACACAAGTACTAAGAATACCTTCTGTGTGTGGACGCCCTGAGCTTCCGGTGATCTCCCCTTTTATATCTTTTCCTGCGAGAGCTGACACGTCATCGATTCTTGTTGACGATGACGGTGCATTCTTCACACTTAACTGTAAACTTCCTCAGTTTGTTGTTACAAACTCGGTGAAATTCGATATAGTTTAAATTCCTCTGGTTTTTTCCAAAGTTAATTAACCGAAAATTTAGATGTTTAAGCAGCTCGTACAAATCCGAAAAAATCCGCGCCTCACACTAGGATTCATCTAAAGTAAAATTATATCAAAAATATTAGATGATGTGAAGAAGCATGAGAAATGCTCTATTCAAGATTAGGAAGACTGCAAACTTCTAATTTGCAGTCTTTTTGACAAGTGGAATTTTTTAACTTGGGATTTGTCCTCATGGTTTTACATTTCTATGTAAACATTGTTTACTTGGACCTTGTTTACTAATAGGACTTATTATACTGGTAAAGTTTCTGATTATCAAAGAGAGATGATTTTAATCAAAAGTCAAAATAAAATACCTTTATTTTCAGATAAAAATAAAGATATTTTGTTTTAACTTTTGACTAAGATCTCTCTTTGCTAATCAGAAACTTCACTAGTATAATAAGTCCTATTAATGAACAAGGTCTAAGTAGACAATATATACACATAAATGACCTTAAGTATATTCACCCATAATTTTGTTCTCTAGGACCATGTCTTACTTCTGTTTGATTTCATAGGATTACCTTTGTTTTTATTTTGGCAGTTATTTTGAAACTTACTATATGTCTGGCCTGTTTCATGGATGAGGGGTGTCTCTGTCACACTCTATACCAATTAGACTGATTATTTATGAGAGGATCAACATTGGATGCAGATCCTTTCAAGCAGACCTTATCATTATCCTCCAGATTGGATTTTGCAAAGATATCAATTTATGTAAAAATAACCAATAATCTATGAATTTGTTTACTCCCTAACTTCTTTAGTATCTGNGAACCACTGTATTAGTACAATTAGCCTTGATAGATTCTATTTGCATACACTTTGATGCATTTATTTTGACTGAAATATGTGGCTATTTATACTCACACACAGATGTCAGTGTATATTATTTTTTAAATTATTCATGACATGTAAGAACAGTCATATAGCACCTGCTAATCTGGTATATGTATTAATGTGTTTATATGCAATATTTATATACCAATTAAGAGCAATGGGAAGCAATGCACAACAATGAATAGGAAAACACAATTACATGCAGTATAAAGAATAATTAATTAATTATTTAGAGCTTATATTTAATATCACAAGACTAAAAATGATAATACACATTCAAGAAAAAATCACTTTATTAATGCAATAAAACATTTTTCTAGATGGTTTGTGTTTCACCTTCAGTTCACACATAAAGCAATTATGTAGATCAGAAATATGCAATTAGATATGATCCTTTCAAGCAGACCTTATCATTATCCTCCAGATTGGATTTTGCAAAGATATCAATTTATGTAAAAATAACCAATAATCTATGAATTTGTTTACTCCCTAACTTCTTTAGTATCTGGCAAACTGTGCTGCAGCTCATCAATGATTTAATTTTGGATAACATTGTTGGAGTGCTATGTGGATGTCATGCTAGAGTCTTACACATACAAGCAGTTTTTTTTTATTTTCAACATGTTCAACAGGATTATCATGTGACTGGAGGGTCGGCATCTCTTTGATGTCTTGTCAGGACTGATACCACTGTTGACATGGGAGCTGCAACAGTGAGTTTAGTTGGGTTTAGAGTAGGTCACAAGAGTGGCTGCGTGAGTAAGCGAATGGGCTCTGAATGGAGATGGAGAGACAGCCCAACAAAAGTAAAGTACACAGACACTAAAGTTAACAATTAACCATTTAATTTCAATGAAAAAAGTACATGATACATACAATATATAATATATATTTTGTTATCTATATTATATAACTGGATTGCTGTATATTAGATCTCTATGTAATACGTCTCTGTAATCCAACAAATGGTAGACGGACTCACAGCAAATTTTCAGTTAGTAACTACAATTTTATTCTCAAAAATGACNGATTCATCTAAAGTAAAATTATATCAAAAATATTAGATGATGTGAAGAAGCATGAGAAATGCTCTATTCAAGATTAGGAAGACTGCAAACTTCTAATTTGCAGTTTTTTTGACAAGTGGACTTTTTTAACTTGGGATTTGTAAATAAAATAAAATACCTTTATTTTCAGGTAAAAATAAAGATATTTTGTTTTAACTTTTGACTAAGATCTCTCTTTGCTAATCAGAAATTTCACTAGTATAATAAGTCCTATTAATAAACAAGGTCTAAGTAGACAATATATACACAGAAATTACCTTAAGTATATTCACGCATAATTCTGTTCTCTAGGACCATGTCTTACTTCTGTTTGATTTCATAGGATGACCTTTGTTTTTGTTTTGGCAGTTATTTTGAAACTTAGTGTATGTGTGGCCTGTCTTATGGATGAGGGGTATCTCTGTCACTCTATACCAGTCGGACTGATTCTTTATGAGAGGATCAATATTGGATGCAGATCCTTTCAAGCAGACCTTTATCATTATCCTCCAGATTGGATTTTGCAAAGATATCAATTTATGTAAACAAACCAATAATCTATGAATTTGTTTACTCCCTAGCTTCTTTAGTATCTGACAAACTGTGCTGCAGCTTTAATTTTGGATAACATTGTTGGAGTGCTATATGGATGTCATGCTAGAGTCTTACACATACAAGCAGTTTTTTTTTTATTTTCAACATGTTCAACAGGATTATCATGTGACCGGAGGGTCGGCATCTCTGATGTCTTGTTAGGACTGACACCACTGTGTCTTGGTTGACACTGGAGCTGTGATGGTGAGTTTAGTTGGGTTTAGAGTAGGTCATATGAGCAGCCGCATGAGTAAGCGAATGGGAGAGAGAGCCCAATGAAAGTAAAATACTCAGACACTAAAGTTAACAATTAAATAACCATTTAATTTCAACGAAAAGGAGTACATAATACAATATACAATATATATTTTGTTAAATTGATGTAGCCTATCTATCTAGCGGTTGTGAGAGAGAGAGAGAGTTTACAATTGTTCATGAGTCGGGAAATACTTGCATTGATGGTGATGCTTCTTGATTTGGATTTCGTGAGACTCGGAGATCTAGGGTCTGAGGTTGTCTGGATTTGGATCATTTGGGACAAGTCTGGATTGGGAAAGTTCTGGATCAAGAAAGTTCTTCTAGGCACAGTTGAGGGTAATGTGAAAATCCCATAGACTATGATTGGCACTGAGACAGGAAAATTTTGATGACTTTAATCCTAGAGAGACTGGTGACAACTGCCTTGACTGCTCATTTGGTATTATATTAAAATGATGAAATGGGACAGCAGGTTAGAAGGTCACATGAAAGCATTTTTATCAATGCTGAGAACTTAAAAAGAGATATACTCACAGGTGTGAAAGTTGACAGATAGTTGACAAAGTTGATGTTACAATGTTGAATTGTTTATGTTGAAGTCCGGATTCTCACAATCATAACAGGATAGTTATCATAAAATTTTTGTGATCAAGGAAGCATTCATAATGTGCTAAAATTTGATAAATTCTTTAAATTTGGTCAATAATTAGTGATATAATTTAGAGAATTAGAGGGTTTGAATCTGATCTGAGCCAAGCTTTACTCTAGATCTTCTTAAACTGTTAATCAAAAATTAAATTAATCATTATTTAGTTTAGAAGTGTTGAACACTAGATCATGTTTTTAAACAATCACATGGCTTATTATCCATCTTTTATTTAGTTGATTCAACTAAATGGAGAATAAGCCATGTGATTGTTTAAAAACATGATCTAATGTTCAACACTTCTAAAGAAAATATTACAACACAGTTTCACAACAAACAAACGTTACTTAGTTATCGAAATTTTCAAGATGTTACATTAAGCCTGGCACAAACTAGTCAATGTGGTTCCTTGAACATGTAGACAGAAACTGGTTTTTATGTCATGACAGTTTGCTTTTGACTATTGTCAATGATTTCATGAATTGATGATTGATGATACACATAAACATTGGTAGTCACCAAATGATATATTCAACAAGTTGAATATGTTTTTTGTCAAACAGGCTGCATACATTCTGTCAAAAGGACAAGTCCATTTTTCAATTGCAGACAAATTTGCTTTGATATTGATTGCTTAAGTCAGGCTTTAGAATGACCATATGTCCTGGTTTCTGTGACAGTCCCAGAATTTTCCTGTTTTTCACCTTGAAAAATAGGATAAATTTTAAATAGAACCATTTTATAAGCCATTCTACTGCAATATAACCAATTTATAGGTCAATATATAAATAATTTTTAAAAAATAATTCANAAGGCGGGAAAACCGCGCGCTAGACGATTTTTATTCCCGACACCTCCACGGCCGAGGATCAAACTGAGCTTACTTAAGCCTGTTTGATTCCCTTCACAACACCAAACAATCTTACAAAAATCGTCCGATGTCGAACTGACCCATACATCCGGAACATCCAGGAATTTTACCCGTCTACGCGCAGAGATGCCTTTGCTACCAATGCCTAATAATCGCTTTTGTAAGGCTAGCGCAATCCGGTATGGGGAAAACCGTTTCGGGATCCACCCTCCAGTAAGTGTCCAGATGTTTTTCTTTTTCGGTCTATTACCGAAAATTGAGTTGTAATCATCCGACCCGTTATCCCGCTCCGTCTGTGCCGACGTCGGGGGAAGCGGAGGAAGTCCCCTTACTCTCCCGTCCCATCTTCCGCGATCGTACAGCTGTCGCGGGGACGGAGTTTGAACCAGTTCCCCGAATCTTCCGTCGGAACCAAGTATTATTCGTACAGCGAACGTTCGCCTTTCTACCACATCCGGCCATTCCCACCGGACATCCAATTTGTCATCCGGGGAAGACTTTTCCACGAGAACCGTATCCCCGATGTTATATTCCCTTTTCCGTGCTTCCAGGTTGGAACGCACTGCATACCCTTCTCGTTTTACGGCCGTATGCTTAGTTGCGATATCGTGAGCCGATTTGATCCGAGCTACTTCTACATTCTCCACTTCTAACATACGGGTCATTTCACGCGTCAACCCTACGGTGAAATTTGTCCCCTGATCGTAACAAATCATTTCGGGAAAACCCGTCTGCGTAAAGAATCGCAAAAATACCGAACAGGTGACCAGCGATCTCATCCCTTCTACTTCTGACAAGCGGTTGCATAAACTGATTATGCCAACTGCGTATCGACGACCGTTAGCTGACAAGTGATCAATCGGTACAACCACGCCTATGGTAACCACTTGAAACGGGGTTGAGGATCGAGCAAGTGGTGTAGCTGGGGTCCTATCTAGGACTAAATCANCTTGTATATATATTAAAACAAAAACGTATGTACAGTTACAATTAAAGTTCACATATAAGAATTACAAACATTAGATATTAACAAAGTTCAAAGTAATCATCCACTGCTACAGGTTCGTCGGAAAAGCACCTTGCGACGCACAAATTCAAAGTCTACAACAACACGACTAGATGAGACGATCTTCTAAGACAGCTCCGGCAACTAAGGTCAACGTGAGTTCATTCTACGAGTCCAAAGCGAACTAAACTTCCCGCCAGAACTTCACTGCTTTTATAGGATTGAAGCTACATTGAACTCCACCAATCAGCATCTACCAGCTGTATAAGATGTCCGCCGATCGTCCGATGTTTCTTAACCAATCAGCGGTCGAGTTTTCAAAATGTCGTTATCGCCGTTTCCGTGGCGATAACGGTCGTTCACGAAAAGGCGGGAAAACCGCGCGCTAGACGATTTTTATTCCCGACAAACAAGATATCATGCAGAATGTTTTCCACATGTTTATCAAAATCTAATTTAAAGAGCAATGTCATTGATGATTTGTGTTGTGATATCTAATGATGCATCTTGGTGCCTCTAATTTCTGAATTGGTATTTCTGTCATTGATTGGTTGGACCGTTGACTTTCTTTAACATAGGAAGTATAGGGAGTTGATTGTCTGTATTTCTCTAATCTTTGGTTGGCTCTTGTGAGTAGCTTGTTTGGCAACTGAGTTATTGTATAGCAACTTGGGCAAATATGAGAGTGAAATTCTGTTTATGAACCGATTTGTTTGAAAAGTGAGTCATTCAGAAACCAAGGTTTGACTGTAATATACTATAAAAAATAAAACTGAAAGCATATAGAAATTAGTTTAAAGAAGCTAACTGTAAATTTTAAGTTAATACTGTTTAACATTTTGCATCACAATATTGTCTGTCATGTAATCATTTTTTGCCAGTCTCAATAATGTCAGTAGTCATATGTAATAATCAGTCATTCCTGTGATATTTCTTATGCTCAGTTAATATTCATAGTGATGATGGGCTTTTTTGCTGTTCATACAGGAGATTTTCTTTTGAATTCAGTAATACAATATCTGCCATCTCACATTTATTTACTGCTGTTTGGTTAAGAACTAGCTGCTCTGACCAAGCTATTGTCATTTTGCTCTTTTTAACAGTTTCATTATAGTCTGATAGTGTATGATCTTTCCTTAATATATGAATATTTGTTAAACTCGTTTTTAATGACCCCAAACACTAATTCATATCTAAATTTTCTTTAATTTAGGCTTTAATACATGAGTATTTCTTCATGCATCCATTACCTTCCTGTTGCTGCAAGTTACCAAAGCCTGGGAATTATAAACAAACATCAAATGTTAATACATCGTTCGATCAAATTGTTGCCATGTCCAACATTAACAAAGAAATAGAAGAAGTCTTAGCTAGAATGCAACAATTGTGAATTAGTGAATATTGTTCTTATAATGTAATATTTAATATTCTGTATATATAAATTGTTAAATAAATTTAAATGGAGTATTATTTTTATTTTATATAATACAAAATAATGATTGATAAATTATTCACTCATGCTTAAAAGTAAGCAAAATTATCCTATCCATAAATAGAAGTGCAGATACATGATTCTTGTTGAACTGGAATCTGGAGTGAGAAACCCAATATAATGCCATTAACATTGTGGAAATAGATTTGTGTACCTGTGGTTAATATGGTTTGGAATGATGCTTCAATTTGTACAATTTTTGTAAATATATTGGAAAAACAGATAATCTTTGTAGTTTTAAAACTGAAGTGAACTTATAAAGTAGCCAGACGTCCCATATTGTATGAGACCATTCTGTATTGTTTGTTGGAATGTCAAAATGTCCACATACCAGGACTTCCTGGAAAAATGTCCTGTATTTTGAAGAATCTTGAGGAATTTTCTGTTTAGAATACTGGCCCTTTTTAAAATCACATATCTGTAAGTAGCTACTGTTAATTAGTTTTTATTATTATATACAATATATTGGGATGAGGTGTAAGTAAATTTTTTGGCATCCCGACCCTTCTGATTGGTGGTGCACATCTTAATTGCAATGTAATCAAGGAGGTGGTTGTTGAAAAAAATAATAATAAAGTTGTATGGTAATTTGCTGTTTACCAGTAAATTGTGGCCTTACTACTTTTATTTATGATATACGCAAGTGGTTTCATAAGAAGTATGGCCATGAATATGGAACACACTATATATAGGTTATATATAATGTGACCTAGAGCTATATATATATATATAATTTTATAATTAATTTTAATAAACGTCTGGATGCCATCATTGCAATAGGATTATTTTTTATACATCTGTGATCTTCAGTTGGTTTGCATATGGCAACACGACTCACAGGCGATCCCTTCGAAGATTGCCTGTGAGTCGCCAGTTTTCCATAGAAAATCCTCCTGGGAGGCATCTCTTCGAAGGGAGATGCCTCCCAGGAGGATTTTCTATGGAAAACTGGCTCCTATTTAAGTGTTATAATCGGGAATAAAATCCAGAAAACTCCAACATGGCCAGCCCATTGGCCGGGCAAAAACCCGTGACCAACTACTAGTGTTTAGTTGTTTTATCTACTCGGCTGCTTTGATCTCTAGAAGAGCGTAAAATTTTCTCCCTCTGCAGCAAGGGCATACCCAGGGAGGAGCAGCTGCCCCTCCCTAGAAGAAAAATTAAATTGTAGTAATTGACACACAGACATATCAATTTGAATAATGAATATTGTGACTAGAGCCATCTGTGGTGAAATCTCACTCTCCCAGCCAGGGATGTAGCCACGTTGGGACAAGCGCCCACTGTGGCTGTGCCCGTGGCTTATTTATTGAAATGAAAAATTATTGGTCAATAGGTTTTTTTTTTTAACTCTCTCCTCCTTGTGGGCATTAAGAGGGCCTCTTTAAGCAAGCCCATTATGGGTTTGGCCAGGCCCACATTGGGGCGGCTGGATGGTGAGGGACGGAGCCCAACATATCTGGACAGACCACCCCTGAAAAATTCCTGGGGATTTTTTGACCTGTTGGGATTCGAACCTGAGTCCCCCAAAGTGGTAGGCTGCCACCTCGACTGCTCAGCCATCCGGCTGTCCGGATCAATAGGTTATAATAGTATTGCATGGCAAGAAAGCATGCTTGAATCGTGGCGGAAAGATGTTATCCTGTTGGTTGGTGATGGAAGCGTTCTCTGGTGAATGAGTGGGGAACTGGCGGTTCAAGGTCTCGCGCATTTATTTAATTTTTGGGCTGCAATCCCGTAACAATAGCAATCTAAAATAGATATTAAAAATTTTTTTAGCACGAGAGGTATGTATTTATATTATTTTTATTTGAGTGGATGAGTTGCAAAACGATTTAATTAAAGCAACCTAAAATCTTCCGGAAATGTGAAGACATTTTTTTTGTTTGTAATAATGATTTTGATGGTGTCTTTATTACTGAAATTTTAAGAAAATTCATACAATACTAAATAAGGAAATAATAACAAGTATACCACACTCCAGTAATTTTAAATAACGATTGAAAATTGTAATTAGCTTCATTTGCAACAGTTTTGCTTAGATGGTTTTGAAATGGTTGATTTTGCAACTAGCTACTTCTGCTAGTAGAAAATAATAAAACGAATTTGTACAAAATATTAAAGGTTTTTTTTAACGTTGAAGCTTCTATTGTAGAGATTCTGTTCAAAAGCTTAAATTCTTAGTTCTTTTAATTTTTTTGGGAACTATAGTAGTAGTAATTTATGTATGCATACCGAATATATCAATGCTCTCTGAAACTCGGTCTCAAAAATATAAAAGTATTGCCACATTCAAGGAACATTATGTGCAAATTGTTATGGCACTTGAAAAACTATCAACTGACAGTAACAATGCAACGAGAAAAGCTGCTTTTCAAATGCATTGTACTGCTACAAAATCAGAAGTAATTGTTAGTGTTTGTGTCATAGCAAAGTATTCACACTCCTGCAACCGGTGGTAAATGCTCTTCAGTCAAAAAGTGTTGACTTTATTAATGTGATTTACACATTGAAGTAAATCACAGACGTCGTGAGAAAACACCGTGGAAATGCAGTTATTGAAAGTCAGTGTTATGGCAGAGGCTGAAACAATTGCCGAGCATCTTGGAACAGATTTCAATATGCCACGAGTCATAAATCATCAGAAACATCGAGTGATTCCACCAGCACAGACTCCTCCTGAGTTTTTGAGATCATTAATTATTCCGTATGTAGATTCATTAATAATGTTTCTGGAACAGCGTTTTTATGAGGAGAACTTGCCCCCATTCTCATTGCTTACTTTGCACCCTCACGTAATACTTGATATGACGTTATGAGGATTTAAAAAAAAACTACAATTTTTTGTAGTTACTACAGTTTGAATGATTTCCTCAGGTAAAGCTGAACTTTGATACAACCAATGGAAAGGAAAAAATGTGCCAAATGCCGAACTGAA